TTCAAGTTTTTATGTTTTTACTATATGTGTATATAGCTATAAAGAACATATATTGCTTTGTGTGTGTGTATTTTATTTAGAACATTTATTTTTAAATGTTTTACTTTATATCATTTTGTAACATTTTTACTCAACATTGTGTTTTTGAAATCTGTCCAAGTATCTACATGGAGATCTAGTTAACTCACTTTAACTGTTATATAGGATTCTACTTTATAAGTACACCAATTTTTGTTTTTACTTTTCCCTATTGATGAACCTTTTGGTAGTTTCTAGTTTTTAATTATTATGAACATTATGAACACTAGCATTCCATACATGGCTCCAGGGACAAATGCATTTGTTTTCCTATGTAATCTGGGAGCTTCCTTGTTGGGTTGAAGAGTATGTGTACATTTTCTATTTTATTAGATACTACCAAATTGCTCTCTGAATTATTCCATTTTATGCTCAAGGTTTATAACAGTTCCCATTTTCTCACATATTTTCTCACAAACCAAACTTGGGGATTTTTTTTAGACTATATTTTATTTTGATAGTCTAATAAATAAGATATTTTAATTTGCTTTTTCTTAATCACTGTAAAGTGATATTGAATATTTTTTCATATGTCTATTGGCCACTTAGTGTTCCTCTCACATGAATTGATTGTTCATATTTTTTGTCCATTTTTCTATTTGATTGTTTATCTTTTTCTTATTAATTTATAATTATATATTCTGGTTATTAATTCTTTGATATATGTGTCCCATATTACCTCTTTTCAAACTATCTCATGTTTTACATTTTTCATGGTGACATTGTCATGCAAGTATTTAAAATATGATGCAGTCAAGTGTGCCCATCTTTTCATTTATGAATTGCTGTGATAGTCTAAAACATGGCCCCAAATGCTTTGACATTCTCCCCATTAAGGGGTTTGTATCTCTTCTTGAATCTGGACTGTTTGAATCCTTAAACAGTAGCATATAGCAGAGGTGGTATTGTACCAGTTCGGGGGGGCCCAGGCTTTAAGAAACTTGCAGCTTCCACTTCCTGTCTCTTGAAATGCTTTTGGAATATAATCACCATCCTTGTGAGGAATCCCAAGCAGCCTTGTACTGCAAAAAGGTCCATGAGGACAGCAACTAATAGCCAGTACGAACTTGCCATCTGTGTGGGTGAGCCATCTTGGAAATGGATCCTCAAGCCCCAGTCAAGCCACTCCAGCCGACATGGTGTGGAGCAGAGACCAGCTGTCCCTTCTTAGCCTTGCCCAAATTTCAGATTTTTGAGCAAAATAAATGATTGTTGTTGTTTAAAGCACTGAATTTTAGGATGATTTGTTATGCAGCTGGAATAGTTGTACTCTGAGGTCAAAAAGATATTTCCCCTGCTTATATTCAAAGCTTGATTTTTCTTACCACATTTCTGTAATATATCTGACACATTTTGTTTTTATTGTGCTAAAATACATATAACATAAAATTTACCATTTTCACCATTTCAAAGTATATAATTCAGTGGCATTTAGTATATTCACAGTGTTTTGCAACCATCACCGCTGTTCAGTTTCAGAACATTTTCATCATCTGAAAAGGAAACCTGGTACCCATTATACAGCTTATTTTTACATATAGATTGATATGGGGATCTAATCTCTTTTTTCCAGATGTAAGGCCAGTTTTCCCAGTATGATTTATTGAATAGCCTATCTTTTTTCCCACAAATTTAAAATGTTATCTCTATCATGTACCAAGTTCCCTATATATGCTTAGGTTTGTTGCAGGGCTGTTTTTTCTTCTCAGTTCTCTTGCCCAGGGATTTTAGAAGGCAAATTTATATCTACAAATATATTGCCTTGTGGTTAGTCTTCTTGCCAGCATCCCTTTAGTATGTAGTTATATATGTATATTTTTCCCTAATAAACTATAACAGATCTCTGAATGGTCTTGCATGTGACTAGGTTGTTAGGACTTTACAAAATTACATAACTGCTTTGAAACTTACTATATTTTATATGGTTTGTTGTAAATTCATATGTTCCTATGCAGGTCATTCTAACTTGATACTACTTTTAAATGCCTCTTTATAGTAACAGTCATATGTTGAGTTTGAAATTTTCTGTTTTGCAAGACTGTAGCTTTAAGTAGGATTATTCTTAAGTGTTCAATACATATCTTACTGCTATTCCACACTGAGCTAAGCTAGTGTGGTCACGCCCTACTCTTAGGCTCTTTTTGGTGGATAAATAGTAGCCTGCAAAGAAATTTGAAGTAGGTAAGGACTAGCTACTTCTGACAACCTCATTGTTAGGTTCTAATGAAAGCAAACCTCTGACCAAATTCTGTTGCACATATAGACACACACATATAGAAATTTATTAATTAAATATTAACAGGCAGGCATAGACAGTTCTTGGAACCTGAGGAAACCCCGTTGCTTATTCCACAGAGAGGATCTGACCAACACCTTACAGAAAAAGGGACACAGAGAGGATCTGACCAACACCTTACAGAAAAAGGGATCACTTAAGGGAGAATTCTCCTTCCTTTATAGCCAGCAACAGGCAAACAGAATCCTCCACATTTCACAAATGGTACTGGAATATTCAATTTAAAGGAAAGCATAATCCATAAGGGAAAACCATCTATGCTCTAGTTGATTCTTAGGCTCTATTTATGAAAGAATGGGCCAAATCTTTAAAATACTGTTTTAGCCAGCCCTTATTTCTTAAATGCTTTTTATTTCACAAATGGGACCCCATACTTAATATTTATCATGCTATTTTCACCAGTGAAAATTTTTCTGACGTTCAGTATGCTGATAGCAAAGGGTCAGTTGTTCATTGAAACACAGCTACTAGAGGTACTCATTATAGTGGCCACCTCTGGAATATGAATTTTTATTATGACTAGAGTTGACTATCCCCTGAATTGCATATTTGTCATTTAGGCCATATCACACTATTCCACTGTTTATTATATTTCTTAGTATTTCAGAGCAAATTGAAGACATCCTGATCAAGTATAGTCAGTATTCTTTGATTAAAGTAAAAACAGTTCCTAAAGGAAAAATATAAATATCAGTTCTGCTTATAAATTCTATTTAGACTCTTTTTTTTTTTTTCCTTTTTGTCTTTTTTCGTGTCCGGCAACGGATCGCAACCCTCAGTGTCGCGCCCGCACCGGACCGGGACCGGCAACGGGATCGCAACCCTCGGAGTCGTGCCCGCACCTCGCTCAGCCAGCGAGCGGGAACTGGTCCGTATGTGAGATCCGAACCCTCGGTAGGAGCGCCGCCGCACTCCCAAGCGGCGCACTGTAGCAGTGCGCCACCGGGCCGGCCCCTATTTAGATTCTTAATCCATATAGAATATATGCAGAGAGGGATGTTTTATTGAAACAGAAACACTCTTTCTTGCAAATGTTAGTTCTCATCAAATTATCATCTTTCAAATTCAGGTGTATCCTGATGTGATTCTCAGATTATTTTGAAGCATTATAAGAATTCTAATGTTAGAAAATCAATTGCTGTTTGTGACTCAAATTTTGGACATAAATCTTCAGGATTCTGTATTATGTAATTTATTAAAATTAAAGTACAAATTAGGATTGTTTATATAATGGTGAGGTATTGCTTCTGTGCAAGGAAAGCTGAAGAATCTAAAATTAAAAGTATCAAAAACAGTGTAATAGCCGGTGATGAAAGCAATTTGGTAATATAATGTGTTATTAATAGAAATTAATCATATTTATTGTTTCCTTCATCTCTCGTAACTATTGTCACTTAGCAGACTCTATAGCAGTATGACAGGCAAGCAGCTGCCTTCACAGCCATTGCCACTACTAAAGATATTTCTAGGCTTTTAGCACTCTTCTTTCATCTGTTAGGATAGGCAAGGCAGCTGTCTTTATGTATTGGTGTAGGGTTGGCGTGGTTTGCTAAGGCAGCTGCTACACTGACTTCACAGCTGGAGGAATAGTGCTTGGTATTAACAACAAAATTTAACAGAAGTATGAAAAGGATGGGGGGGGTCTTTTAATCTTAGAGATGGCCACTTGGAGTGAAATAAGATTATTGATTTCTCCTGAAAATGTAGTTAATTAATGGGAGGATATTGAAATAGTTTTGATTGTATTTGCTGCTAGCCTTTTTTTTTTTTTTTAAGATGAGTGGTAAGGGGATCTTAACCCTTGACTTGGTGTTGTCAGCACCACGCTCTCCCAAGTGAGCTAACTGGCCATCCCTATATGGGATCTGAACCCATGGCCTTGATGTTATCAGCACCACACTCTCCCAAGTGAGCCACAGGCCGGCCCCACTGCTAGCCTTTTTTGTTTTTCCCTTTGAAAGAATCTTTTAGAATCTCTCCTTCCTGCATGATTTAGGACAGGGACATACAACGGTGAGTTGTTTGTTTCTTTCTTTTATTCAAAAGTGGGCCCTATATTCAAAATTTCTTTTATCTGTAGACAGCTTATGAATTTTTTTTTCTTATACAGTACTAGCTGTAGTTGTAATAGCCTGTTAGATAACTTAAACATATTTAACCTTTTTTAGTATTAAAAAATCAATCTCAAGACCAGTTTAATTAACTTTAAATGATAAAAGTGCACAAATACTGGTCTAGCATTGCCCAGAGATCAGTTTTGATCAAGTAAATGAAAACACTGATGTTCTTGAGAACTGTTGGGTAAATTCACATTGACTCCATAATAACTCTGACTCCAGACTTCTAGAACTAGTATTCTCAGCTTTATTTATAGAAATTTCATGAAAGAAACTTGTGTTATGGAAGCAGATGGATACAAACATTGCCTGCAGTTGGGTCATTTAGCCAGGTGTTTGGGGATAATTCTGTGATTTTGAGACCTGTCTTCAAAATCCCAGAGGTGTCATGCCTTCACTTTGAGCAGAGTCAGTTCTTGAAACTGAACCATCTTGAGGTAGCCATAAAGCATTCCTGAATTGTTCATGAAATTGTGCCTTTATTTTCACAATTTGTGCTTCTTCCACAGGTATCATTCCCTTCAATGCAGCGTGGATTGGCAGTGGAGAGTTACTGCAATCTCTGTTGCCATCTATTAATCCCCTTTTTCTTGTACTAAAAAACTGTTCCTGAACCTTCTTGAGCAAATCAGAAATGTTCTCATTTTTACCCTGATGTTTAAAGTTCATTGTGCTTAGATGCATTATTCCTCAGTAAGAAAGTTTGCATGCCACTAGGGGTTTTAAATTGAGTCTCAGATCCCTAGGTGCTTTATCTGACTTAGCTTTTTTAACAACTTTAACAAATTTTCTTGCCATCTCACCACAATAAAATAAGTTAAATATACTTAGTGTGCTTTACCTTCTTTCACAGCAACTGGTCATGGTAGTTAGCATGAGCATAAACATGAAAAACATTTTTCATCTTAATCCCTTTCTCCCTTACTTACAATATTCAAGTCACAGGTTTTTATAATGGATAATGCAATGGAAGATATACATATCTACCGTCTCTTTAGATCTGAATAAATTGTTGAAACATTTTCTCTTTCGTTGCAACTGACTTATCTTTGCCAGTGAGCTTAACTTTTCAGCATTTAAAACCAAACTTCTCAAATTCATTTCCAGCTCATTAGTTCATGCTAGTTAATTTAACTAAAAAAATAATAATAATAATGACTGAGTCTAAAATTTTGGGAGAACTGTATTTCATTATAAGCAGAATGTTGATTTAGTAGAACTAAGGGAAGGAGATTTGACTAGGTGACTTCTCAGACCCCAAGAATTCAATTTTTATACTGTATTTACTGTTTTGTTCTGCAGATGTCTTTCTTATCAATAATTAAGTGGGGGAATTGAGCTAAAGATGTCTCTGGCTTTAAGAATATACAGACACAAAATGTTACATACAGAGAATAATAGAGGATACAGAGAATAATAATAGATCTTTATGCTGTTTGCACCATTTTTCTTCAATTGGTGATCTGGAAGAATAGAGGGAAACTGAGCAATGAATGGATGAAGATGTTATACCACCACATTTGAATCAATGAACGGCTGGAAGATTTGAGGATTTGCATATATTTTTCAAAATGATTAAATTTATAAAGTAACTACCAAAGATTCTATGTTCTCACATTTTCTTTCTTTCTTGACGGTTCTTGCAAAACACCTCAAATTTTACTCATGGTACAAAAGTATTTAGTAGGCAACACATCCATGAGAAAAACACGTAGCTTATAGCTCATCTTTAAAACCAGAATACCCAAGTGAAAAGCCAGTACAGATTCTTATTTTTACTTAAAAAAAAAAAAAAAAAATCAAAGGCGTACATTGGGAATTGAACTACTATATTTTCTTCTTTCTAGAGATGTGACATACAAGTTTTCTGGTAATCTACCAAATGTACTAAACCAAAGCTGAAGACAGTAAAGTTGTTTGCTACCTCCTACTTATGCTGAGCTAGGCCAGAGGCAAACCATCTTGGCAGAAGAGATTTTGACAAGAAGAGGAAATTGCAGAGTCCCTACCTACCCCATCAGAAAATCTAACAAACTGGTTTATACAGAAAGGATTTTAAGCAAACATGCACAAACGCACCTAACGTGCTATAAGAACAGGATACCTTTTAGTCTATTTCTAGACACAGCATACGTTTACTGGTGCCTGGAAAAATGGGAACACCAACATAGAAAGCATTTTTGCCTTCACAGCACTAACAAAAAAGCACACAGCATATAATACTTTGATCTTTAAGTGGGTAATGATGGAAGTTCCAAGATCATATCTACTAGGTTAGCCTGAGTATTCATCTATAAAAAATATTTTTTTCAAAAATAATGCTTAAAAGAGACTTATAGAGACAGTGGGACTAAATCGGGACCAGCAGAAGACATAGTGATACAAGGACTGCAAATGTAAGACTAAGGAGTTGATTTGCAATGTAGCTTTTTTAGGTAAAGGACATCTATCTCAGTTGATTCCTACAGCTCAGACAATCTGTGATCATAGGAGATTCAGAAATCTCAAGGTGGGCAGCTAGCCTTAGTAACACTCTACATAAATATTCCCAAACAGTCGAAAATCCCACTGAAGCTGAACAACACAAACTCTGATCCATATTAAATAAATAAATAAATAAATAAATAAAAAACTGTGATAGATTAAAAAGATTCATGCAAAGCCTGCTGGGGCAAAGAGGGTTGTGATGGTGGGTTTTGCCACACTGTTGACATACCAACACTGATGCTGGGGTAAGGGGACCAGGTGGAATGCGTGACATGGACTTGTTCCAGAGGAGTCTGACTCAGAAGCACTGGTTTTGCCACACTGTTGACATACCAACACTGATGCTGGGGTAAGGGGACCAGGTGGAATGCATGACATGGACTTGTTCCAGAGGAGTCTGACTCAGAAGCACCGGAGAGAAGTGTCTACTTGGGGAGGGGAGGAGTACTAGGATTACTGAGCACTTGGGAATGACTACTAGGGTTTCTAAATATAAGAGGGTGTTTCAGGAGAAACAGTCCAAGAGGGCCAGGCCATTTTGTTTTGACCCATCAATACTTAACATGAATGAGGAGTTGGAGATCAGAGTCAGTCTTTTCAATATGTATTCTGTCATCTTTAGCTGAGGGCTCTCCCAGCCTACTGGGCCAGTGACATCCAGAATGAGCCCATTCCTTGCCTGCAGGTAGGATCTAGTGCCACAGACTGTTCTGGGAAGCTGGCATAGAAAATGATTTGCACAGTGAAGTCACCACTAAACTACTGTTTAAGTCCAATCCCCGGACTTTTTCTTTTTCTGCTCTGTAGTCCAGAAACATTTCTTTAAAAGCCAGAAAATCTGTAAATATGAGCAACATGTCATATATATCACTAGCCACTTCATCTTTATGGTCCTGTAATGTTGTTGTGAAAGCTGCCATGGTAAATCCAGGAATCCTCTCCCCCAGCTGTTCTTCAATATACTTTTCTACGAAAGAAATATATTCATTAAAAATAGGTGTGTAGGTGAGTTTATTCTTTTCTGTGTCTTCAAACTCTTGGTAGTACACGGCCATGAAATTTCTCTGTAATACTGGAACTCGTCATCCATGATGATGTCCTCCAAATATCCAACCACAGCATCAAATTCTGCATCAGAGGCAGAGGAGGTGGCTGGCAAATTAGTGTTGGCTCTTCACTGGGAGCTCAGTTGTAGATACTGGCAAGAGGACTAGGGGGTCTCAGTTCCTTTCCATGTAGGTCTTCCCAGGGATGCTTGGGTTTCTCACACCATGGTGGCTGGATCCAAGAGCAAATATATCACCTTTTCTTAAAGACAATTTTTTTCTAGGGTTGGGACTAATCTGACTTAAAATTTCAATTTTATTTTTAAGCATAGGCTAATATCTGATTCATCTGTTGGTGGGAACAGGGGATTATATGTATTAAAAAGTGATGGCTTCCTTTCAGATATTTCAATACCTAGGTCCAAAAAATAATGAAATAAAAACGAGTGTTGTGCTTCATTGCTTTTTCATGTGTGAGAAAACTCTTTAAACAATTCTTTCTACCCCAAGGGTACTATAGATTGCTTGTACTGTCAATACCATTCTCTATTTCTTTTGTCCGATATAATACACCTCCTTGTCCCTTCTTTTGAGAGCTGTGGTAGAATTTCACTGCCATTTAAAATGTAGATGACGTATTGTTTGGAAAAGTTGGCTTTGAAAAAAAGTAGTTTAAATCTGAGTGAATTATCACCTACGTTGTGTGTGTACCTAGACCAGCAACCGGATACTGTGGGAAAGTTACAAGCCACCTTTGGAGATGATGAAAAAAGACTCTGCTGTAGAATTTCTTTTGCTGTGCAATAAAGGCAGAACTTCTTAATCACTTGTCTATTGTTCTTTCCATATTTGAAGCCTGTACACCTTTCTGTAAGGCTGATGTCAAAAGCAAAATTTATAAGAGAAACTTTAAAAAATCATTTCTTCTCATTAGCTATCACCATACTCTCATTTTCTAGAGGGGTATAGGAGTTCATTTTACTAGCAAATGCATTATGAAAAATGTTCAATTAATTTTAAACCAAAGGACCAGATTATATATACAATAATACTTCATTTATTTAGAATAAGACTCCTGTAATGACAGTTCTCCAAAATAGAGCAGAGAACCTGAGGGTAATGTGGAGTTCTAAAAACAATGATCTTAAAACCTCTAGTATCGTCTTACCAGAGATTTTTGCTCAATATGCAAATCATTAATCTCACCCCAAATGTAAAGAATCAGAATATCTAGTGATGAGGCCCAGAAATCAGCCTTCAGCACATCCCCCAACTACTTCAAATGTTTACTAAAAGAGGAAGCATTGCTTCTGGCCCTCATGAAGAGCTTCATCAACCCTTATTGATACAGATTTTTTAATAAGATTATTTGATTTCTCAGCTATGAGACTAGAAGTGGTGTACTTCTACAAAACGTACAGGAAATTGAGGCAAATACCAAGATAGCAGGAGGAGCAATGATGACATTGTGGAAAGAGTTGAGAAATCTAACAGGTGCTTTTACTTTCCTTAAAAGAAATTTCCATATCGTACTATTTAATAACAGATTTTCTTAATGATGATTGAGACTAAGCTGATTTGTTTGGGTTTGGTTTTTTTTTTTTTTTTCTATTAAAGCATGGCTTCTGCAATAAATTATAAAATGCTGTTATGTTCATAATAAGCTAAAAAAGGAAAGGAAGTATGTGTATTTCCATTAACTCTAACTAGGTATACTTTCTGTTTTAAAACCACCATGCAGGGCCAGCCCGTGGCTCACCTGGGAGACTATGGTGCTAATAACACCAAGGCCACAGGTTCAGATCCCTATATAGGGATGGCCGGTTAGCTCACTTGGGAGAGCGTGGTGCTGGCAACACCAAGTCAAGGGTTAAGATCCTCTTACTGGTTATCTTTAAAAAAAAAAAAAAAAACAAGCAAAGGATTAAAAAAATAATAATGGGCTGATTGATGACTTAGAAAATGTTTGTGTAATTGCATCATTATGAGCCTCAAGGAATCAGTATGCCCCTCAGCAAGCAATGACTTTGTCAAAGGAATGTTGTCCTGCTTTTAAATGTGTTAGAATGTTATGCTACCACTAGATATTTTCTTCAATGTGAGCAAAATCATTTTGAAGGGAAGGATGAAAATCATTAGTAAAAGCTGGGTGAGGTAACTGAATCCAGTCTTACAGAATTTGGAGAGAACCTCTGCCCCGATCTTTAAATAAGTATCTCTGAAACCATGATTGCTAAGTGGACGTTGATAGAAACTAGAAGTCATAGCAATAGTCACCACCGA